GAGAGAGAGAGAGAGAGAGAGAGAGAGAGAGAGAGAGAGAGAGAGAGAGAGAGAGAGAGAGAGAGAGAGAGAGAGAGACGGGTTGGGAAAATCGGAATCGGCTTATGGTCGTATAATCGAAAGGAGCATGAATTCGCTTAATTTCTCGTATTCGTTCTCCACATATGGTCAATCGTATTGATATTGATCCCTCAATTGGATTATAATAACGATATTAATAAAAACTTCTTTCGAAGTAAAAGAAGTAATTAAAACTGAAAAGGCAAACTTTCGTTTCGGTAACCGCCAATCGACCCCACAAATTGCCATTTCATGAAACCACATACAAATTTCCCATTGGACAACATATTTCGATTTGTCAATCGAATCGATTAAATATTAATCCTATCTGTTTTTTTTTCTTCTTTCCAGTACTCGTACAGTGGCAAAGCGGCAGACATTTGGGCGCTTGGTGCAACTTTATATTCATTGGTGTATGGTAGTGTTCCGTATATGGCAAACAATGTGCCATCGGTTTATGAGAAAATCAAAAATGATCGCTTACAATTCCCGTCCGATATTGTGATTAGCGCCGAACTCCGCGATTTAATCGTTAAAATGCTTGAGAAAGACCCATCCAAACGCATCACATTGCCACAGATTAAAGTGAGTTTACATGAAATGGAGTTTCTTGACACGAACCGTATATATTAAATGTGCATTTGTTTCACTTTAGGAACATCCATGGGTCACTTCTAACGATGTTCATCCATTGCCAAGTGAAGATGAAAATTGTCGCTTGGTTGAAGTCAATGAAATGGACATCAATTCAGTGGTGAAGAGCATTCCAAAGTTGGACACATTGATTCTAATCAAAACCATGCTTAAGAAGCACTCATTCCAAAATCCATTCAATAAACCGGTTTCGGGGCGTGCACCTCAACGAGGCGGTTCACGTTTGGAACGATTCACACGCGCTGGACGCTCCAATTCAGCACCCGGTGCTTATCATATGATTGAAAGGTAAGCCAAAAACTGGGATTTTTTTTTTAATAAATCCATGCATTTGAATATTGAATTAAAAATTTGAACCAAACCTTCATAAGTATTCACTTTTTTGTTCAATGTAAATTCAAGGAGAAGAGAAAAAAAATTCGTAAAAATATTGATAAAAGTAAATTTAAAGGAAAATTCCTCGAAAATTCAATTTTAATATTCGTCCCACTTATTTGTTTTGCTTCGTCTCAATCTTTCCGCAGACAACTGTCGAGTGATAACATTTTGCCGTCGGTGAGTGAAGGCGTTGTCAGCCCATGCAGTGATACCTCAACCGATGCAGACAATGCATATTAAGTCTCGCAACGTCTGAATTAAGCCGTTTTATTTGTCATAGACACACGCTAAGTAATTGGATTATTGATTGGGACTATCTCTTGATAAATCTTCGATGTAGTTCGAGTGTAGGCTTCCTCTCGTGAGTGATATGTTCAAGCTTTGTACGATGGTTTAGGTCGACGCTATGGTGATATAAATATGCAGAAAAGAAAAATCTAGCACACAATTCGATTTTTAACACTTGACATTTAGAAAAACAGCACATAAGTAAACAGAGACACACACACACACACACACAAAATGGGACTTTCAAGGGTTAGCTTTTATTCTCGATTCTTTTTTTTCATAGCTTAAGCAAACAATACAAATATAAGTCCGCTTTGATTTTATTCTCTTTTTTCTCTATTTTTTTCGCACATTGATTAGAGTGTACATAAAAAAAAAGAATGCGAATCTTAATCACAAGTTACTAGTCTAGCACGCAACAAGACTACTTACATTTTACGCTGCATGGAACCAAATTCCGCAAATTTTAAACACACACACAATCACACACAGTTAGATTAAGATCAATATGCGCTCGCATATTTACTATCTATATTCGAATCAATTCACAGTTTTTATAACTATCAAAATTCAAGCTTAAAAGTTTTTATAGTCATAAGTAGAGCAACGGAACGTAATCGAATGTAAACTGGAATGGAAGAATGATTCGATGCATTCGCTCACTTCTCAAAAGAAAGAAAAACAAATTCGCTTTCTTGGTAGACAGCTGACTGAGTCGTTCTTTTGATAAAGAGGATTATTATCAACCATAAAGAAATAAATCGCTCAATCGATTTTTCCATACGACAAAATACACTCGTACACACACACAGTGGCTAGATGAGTTTTACATTTTTCCTTCTGTATTCCATTCGGATTACGTCAATAGTTTTCAATCGATTACTGTTTACAACTTGCATTTCAACACATCACTAGTTTGACGCTCTATTGGAATGGAAATCGAAGAGTTTTTTTTTTCCACAAATGACTTTTTACGACTTGCCAATTGCATTGATAGAGTCGCTCAATGGGAGACGCTATTTGGTGTCCAAGCTGCTTGAGCCAAGTACATGTATCAGTGGGTGAATTGAATGTTTTTTTGTTGTTGTTGAAAAACGATGTTGGATCGGATTTTTGTGCCAATTTAAAAAGAAACAAAGTTCACTCCGATTCTCCAAACCACGTACGTTGTTTAAAAAAAGGAGTTTTTCTCATTCCAAATTCTGAAAATGTTTTTAAGGAGAGTCTACTTAGGAGACATTTCAAATGAACATTTTTAAATCAGTAGCTTCAATTTTTTTCCTTTTTTTTACCGAAATATTCTCATTTTTAAAGAAGTTTGCCTTCAAATGATACATTTTCACTACAAACTATGAAATTTGGAATGAAAATAGAGAATTTTGAGTTATGTTTCCAAGTTTACGTTTCAAAGAGACTGAATTTCAACCCAAAAGATATGAAATCAGGCACAAATTGGCTGGAAATTAGGTATAAATTGGCTCAAAAGCAGCCCTAAAAATCCATGAAAGTCAAGAATTGAAGAAAATCCATCAAACCGAACCAAATCGTCCGTCATTGTCGTTTCTACGATTCTACCTAAAGTCTTTTACTTTTTGTTCAGTGAATAGTGCTCGATTTCATTGCGACCGACGTCAAAACTGATGGAACTGCTTTCAAATGTCAAAGAATTTTTCACTTTCGTTTACTTTTTAAGTCAAAATATGTAATTTTCTAGTGATGTAAGTAAAATGAAAAGAAAAAAAAATCCGAATGTCTGTGTACTGTACATAAAAAAAAACAATGACATGACCAATCAATCCATACGCTTTAAAAACAAATTGTAAATGTTCAATCAACAATTCACATGAATTTATGAATGGTGAATGTGTTGCGCTTGACTTCTTCAATAAATTTTTTAGATATTAAGGGGAAACGATTCTACTCTTTAAACGTATGAAACGATATGAGGAGTTTGGAAATAGTGTCGAAATTGGTCAATTTACGAAAAAATGGTACGAAAAAAAATTTCAGTGAAAAATGGTGTCGCTTCGATTCATTGAATATATTCAAAATGTTGAAACTGGATCGAAGATAGTTTGAAATGGAATTTTTTTTTCAATTGTTTTCAATCAGAGTGAAACAAACGATCTGTTTACTGCTTAAAACTGAGTTTGAGTTCGGATTCAAGAACTTACTTAGCCGATTTTCTACTGGTCATGTACATTTTCTATCTCACCCTTTCCGGTGCGGTTTCGTCATGCAAAATGTTCGATGTTTCGAACACTTTGTGAAAAATTGATTAGACGCGACTCGAAACACACTCCCAATTGACTTGATTTCGATCAAATTGCTCCGCTTCTTTCGAAATGGAATGAATATTGAAAGGCATAAATGAATATGGATATGAAAATACATATATATGTAGAAGAAAAAATATGTTCGAATTCCATCTTTATTTCGAAGAAATGTTATTCTTTCAGGAAAAAAACGTGTATCTTTTTCATCAAATTTGTCAAAAATACAATTTTCCTATATTAGTCTCGAACAATTATTCTGCATAATCATCGCAAATAAGACAATGCGTTTAAAGTTTTAACATAATAACATAAAATTAAAACTTAATACAAATACGTGCGCTCCGGCATGAAAATAACTTTCAGTTCATCAATTGAACTACAAAAATTGCGTTTCAAAGAATCAAAAGAAGAAGAAAATCACTTCAAACAAACGCTGTGGTATTTTGCACCGAATCTTTTACTCTTCCACTGTTTAAATTCGCATTTTCACCGATCATTTCCAAAACCCAAAAAAAACCATTCACTTCCTTCACACGTTTGATCACGTTTATCGTTCCCCATTTTTGAATCTCCTAGATGGTCACAGAGAATTGTGTAGCGATAAAATTTTGTTTTCGGGACCATTTCAATGAATTCTTAGTTTAAAAAAAAAAAATAAAAATAAATTAAATTTTATACTTTTGTTTAGGATTAGTTATAATTGAGAAAATTTAACGATATTAGCTTCACAATCGAACACAAAATGTGACCCGAATATGTTTTCTATGCTTGAGAAATTCCATCTTAGAATATAGATGCTAGTTGAGCCAATCCGCTATGAATTCACGGTGCAATGCGATGAAAAATGTTTTACACAAGAGGTCAATTCCTTCACGGTCAAATTTTGTACGCAGAAGATGATGTGGTTAATTTGCGACATGCATATTCGTTGAAGTAAACATTTAAAAAGTACACATTCCAAGAGAAGCAAAACCAAAGCTTGTACACATTGACCGTTTGAGGTGGAAAATGTCTAAACATAGGGAAAAGTGTCAAATGAAACCGCTTTTGAGGCAAGCTATTCGTGTAAGCATAAGTACAATAGCTTTTTTCCCTCCGAACTGTTGCCGTTTGACACGAGATGGCGTCTCCTGGCACCCACTTCACCACGACGCTTGTGACCGACTTTTCAATCATATATTTAGTACTTTTCCATCATTCTAATGATCTAATTTTCTGCACCTCAGATAAATTTTCAATCAATTTTTAAACAAATATTACATTTTCTATAAAAAAAAAATTCATTTCAAGCTTAACCAACTAGAGAATTGATATTAACATAATTATGCACCTTTTTACTTAAATCAATTCATATCTCAATTTTTAAGAGTTCCGTGATAAATTCAAACACACTCCAAAAATGGAACGATCGAATAACAAAGAGTCCTATACTGCAAGAATAGTACAACTATTCTTGCAGTCATGGTACTTCGTAGAATATTCAATCAGTTACACAAATTTTACTGAAATCCATCAATCTAAAGTTGCGTGATAAATTCTCGAATGAATTCATTTTAACTCAGAACTTTTTTTCTTCAAAAAAGAAAAAACAGAAAATATATTTAGCTGCATTTAAATTGCATCTATTCGATTGATTTAGATTTTAAGTAAAATAAAAACACCCTTAAAAAGCATTTTTATGAATGAAAAAGTTCAACTCTGTAAATAAATCAAAATTCGATAACCATTCGAAATGTTGGCGTTTTATTTCACCTTTTTTCTGTAAGGAAAACAACTCTGATTTCATTAGAGTGAGTCTCGTCTCTTGGTTTAGGAGGAAAATAAAATCAAGAACGTTCACAAAGTGAAAGCAGCGACAATTTCAAACAAGTTGGATAAAAAGTAAGTAAATCACTCCTTTGATTCAAAGGATCATATCGTCAAAATCGATCATGAGCCCCGTATGTTATGCGAAGTAGAAATAATAACTGTCGATCTTAAATCGTACACATTTCAATTTGAATTAGCATATAAAACGGTCTGGGAATTTGAATAAAAGCTCCATCGTAGCGGGAATGAAATACAAACACTACTAGGCAAGTAGAGACACGTCATGTGAGAAAATTATGTAAAAAGACTACGTCAAATAAAGCTCAAAATTTCATCATATGAGTTCAGCTTTTATTCACATTGTTTTTATTTATGGTCAAGTGTGACATACGATTATAATTTCCATAGCTATTTGCAATAGTCCACCAAATATATGCATGTTATTATTTTAACCGCAAATAAATAACGATATCGATTCTCTTTATGCTAAAGAAAATGCTTCAGTTGAACAATGAAGATTTTTTTCTCATTATTTTGATATGACAAAACTGAATACAATTTCTCGATTTCTCTTTCGCAATACCTAAAAACCGCATGCTTTCACCTGCATATTTTTACAATGTCATCATGAATTGTTGATGATGTTTGTTCCGTTTCAGAGAATACTCGAAATGGTTTTTAAATGAAATGCCATTTCGGGGCGGCGACCACACAATTGAAAGTCGGTTTACGTAAATCATATCATACCGCCTTGAATGAACTGTTCAGGACATTTGTTGGACGTGTGTCAATCTTGGAGAAGTTATTTTTTTCGGGATAACAACAAAACTTGCCTCGCTATTTGTTACAACTTTTTCCAAGTTTCACATTTAGTTTTAGCATGAAAACACATCCAACAAATATTCTCAGCAGTTCATTTAAGGCGAAATGATATGATTTACGTAACCCGGACTGTCAATGTGTGTGGTCACCGCCCCGAAATAGTTTTCCTTGTTCCATTTTCCGTTTGATTCCATCAACTCATTTGCGTCACGAAATATGACTAAAAAGTGATATATTTGTTTTCATACGTAAATTGTTAGATTTCGAGGTCAACTAACCTTTTAGCGCTTCCATTCAATTTTTAAATGTTACAAAACATTTTCCAACTTCAGTTGGAAGCATTCAAAATTGGAAGAAAAAATTCTTGCTAAACATCACTCACATCTTCCAAGATTTGAATACCCATCTATTCTAAATGGGTTAATATGACGAAAACAGATGTCCGTGTGTACTAGAAATTGAATTTTCACTGAATAATTGAGACGAAATAGTGGTATAAAAGACCGATGAGGAAGGTTCAGAAAAGACAGTAAACTACAATACGATCTACCGATTGCTGATTTAACCGAAATTCTTCAACATTATAAATCTGATAAACTGAAAAATAACTTGTAAAAAGTTCTTTTCAAAATCGAAATTCATTTGTGAAACGATAGAAGCGAAAAATTGAAAGAAAATCGAAGGAATTATTCATTTCAAGAAGATAATCCAATCTTGTTCACATTAAATTTGTTGGGAAAGTAGAATTAATGTTAAAACTAGAAGTTTTAAAATATAACTTAGCCTTCATGGCCAAATTGGGAATAAATTCGTCAAATTCCATAAATCCAACAAAGGATTTTTTCAAATCGTTCGCTGCTCAAACAGTGCTCGGCCTGTCAATCATTTGTATCCTATTAAGTGCGTTGGGTGCTTATGACAATTGGCCAAATATTGAATTGATCCTAAATGCCAACATAACATTGCTTGGTGCAATACAAGCCGAAGGAATGTTTCTTAATCTTGGCTTGTATGCGAAAAAAATTCAAATTTTACGCGGTAAACTGCAACAGATTGTAGATCAAGGTCAATTCTAAAATGTTCTGTGCCAATAACATATTTTTCAATCAAATAAAATCTCCTTTTATTCTACATAATTAGGTGAAGAGGATGAGATATCCGATATCTATCGGAAAATCGAACGAAAATGTCGCAAGTTTACCAAAGTGATGTGTTCATATAGTGTGGCCAATCAAACCATGTTTATGCCTCCTCTTTTTTATTCCATTTACAATATAATTATTGGAAATATGGATACATCGGAGTGGAGATTGCCATTCATCTTGGCGTCTCCATTTGATACGGACAAAGTTTGGGGCTGGTACCTAATGTGGTTGATACAAATTTCCACCAGTATTGCATATGCTACTTGCATTTCTGTAGCCACGTCATACTTTGTTTGTTGCTGCTTGTACATTGGCGCAATTTACAATCACTTTGCTTTGCTCATGCGTTCAATTGCCAAAGAGTTGGAGCTAAATGTGGACGGAAAAAATCCTGCAATATATCGCAAGCGATACATGAAGATTAAACAGAACCTTCACAAGGCAGTAGAGATCCAGGTCAATATCTATGAGTGAGTCGATATAATAATAATAATTTCATAATTGTAATCAGTTCGTTCGTTCAATCGAAAATTTGGAAAAAAAAAATTATTTCGAAAATGTCCGGAAAAAGTCTTTTTTTTTTCATTCAAAATTTAATGTTATTCCGCCCGAACAACGGACAAACGATCAAAATAATTTTTTAAAATCGAACGATCAAACAAGCGTTCGAAAAGTGTTCGACGGCCAACACTATCCATAATAAATATGCAACGCACCCCAGATTGTAGAGTAAATGTCTGGAATGAATTTTGCTTTGTTAGGATTTGTAAAATGACATCGGATATAAATAGTGGATTGGTTTTTGTACTGCTCCCAACGAATGTTCTATTTTTGGCCTCTTCATTGTATAGCATTGAACACGTAAGTGTATTTTAAAATCTAATTCAGACTATGCTCGAAATCAATCTAATTCATTCTCAATTTCAATTGGCTCTTTTCCTGTTCAAACGTCCATTCTCTTCCTTTATCATTCATTTAACAGTCAACATTTGAATTGGGACCGGTATTTTTTCACCTACTCTGTATGCTCACTTCAAACACATGGCCATTTCTTCTGTGCTATTTCGCAACCTTGGCCACCACTCACATGGCAGACATTGGTCATACTGCATATGCTTCGAATTGGCTTGATTATCCGCCAGAATTACGGAAATATTTCATTTTGATCATTGCTCGGTCGCAGGAGCCAGTGCATTTTACTGGACTCGGTTTAATTCACTGCAATTTGGAAATCTTCGGAAAGGTAATTTTTCTGCATTGTTGAATTTTTGGTGATTGATATTTTTCTTCTCATTATTTACCATCCATAGCTCTACAAGACTGCTTGCTCCTTTTACATAATCTTCAGAGATTTGTCGAAACTTTAATTTCAATTTCTTATTTACTTCAAGCCTTTTCTCGAGTTGTGTTACGCTTCTTTCAGTTGTTTTTGACAAATTTTTTATCGTATATTCAATTTATTTCACTTACTTTACTTACTTGGTTAACTTGGTTAGGTACGATATACAATGGTTTGAACCAAAACGCAGTTACAGTGTTTTGTTCGGCATATTGGTACCATCTCTACTGAATGCCATTATTACACATTAGTTTGAACATTTGAACTATAAAGTTATTGTTACATTAGATAATTGCACCTGAGTGTGAGCATATATGCCATATGAGGCCGTGAGAATGAAAATGGCAATACAGGAATAAAAATTCTGAACCGCATCAAGAAAAAAAAATTAGCAAAAGTGAATCATGAGTTCTGAATACGCAGAAGTGAACCATGAACCTCCTATGCTGCCCATGTAAATTCATGTTTCACTTTTGCATATTCAGAACTCATGATTCACTTTTGCGAATTTTTTTTCTTGATGCGTTTCAGAATGTTTATTCCTGTATTGCCATTTTCATTCTCACAGCCTCATATATGGGAGCAAGACGTCTGAGGAAGTAAGAATCTCGAAACTGGTCGAATGATGGCTCAATGGGAAGCCATTGATTTTCATTTATAGCTGTTTGAGAACGATGACATGATTCCGCTCAAAAATGTTCGACTAAAGTAGATCATGAACCGAATTCGAAGAGTTCGATGTAAATTTTACCACATAAACCAATTGTAATTCTCGCGAGGATCCGAGGTTTTCATACAAATTTCCCAGACAGTCCAAAAACAGGCGAAGATCGAAAAGAAGTTATTTTTTTTTTTTCAATTTCAATTTCAATTTGAACGTGTCTGATACAGTTGTTAATCTATAAATTATTCTGAATAAAAAAAATGGATTGTGCAAATAAATCAAAATGCCATAACTATCCTACAACATACACTTCATTTAAAACAATAAATGACCACAGAAAATCATTTGCTGAAAAAAGGAATCGATTTAATGCGATCGAGTTTGTACGTGGTTGAACGTTGAAAAATTGTGTAATTAAGAATTAAGTGAGATATGCGGACAAGGTTATTAAAATAAAATAACACTTCAACACTTGGTGTTTTGTTTCTTAATCATCGATTTCATCTTGAAATGAGCTATTTTTCAGTCGATCAGCTTATTTGGCTGTGGCGATAAGACAAGTGTCAACCATTGCAACTGTATGCATTTGCCATTCAATTGATATGCGTGTTAAGTAACAAAATAAAATACCGAAAAAAATTCAAAATTTCAAGCAAAACAAACAGCGCCACACACAGAATTTTTGGGTTGGTTTATGTTTGCTTGTGGTATTATGTGTGAGTTGCGTACGCAGTCACTGGTTTTTATTCGTTGTTGAATACTGCGTTGATAAGATAAACAGAGGTTAGCAAAGTCGTAAACCTAAGCTGTGTGTTTGTATTAAAGAGCCTGTATTACACACTGTGCAATAGGCGACACAGTCTGTAGAGGTGAACTACACACACTGTGTTAATCGGCTTACTAGCACGTATGCTTGTCGCAAACAACGATTCAAAGCACCAGTTGAGCTGCAGCTACTGATTGGTAAACATCGAACAACAAACACTTTTATTTGTGTAGTAAAATATGGCCAAAATCATTTCGGGAACTGAAACCGCCAAGTAAGTGATAAACGAATCGACACATGATGTGTTAATTGATTTCATTATTTGGACCTTATTTTTTTCGTTTGTCTACCGAAATTGAATCGTCTTGTTTCGTGGATTTTCTTTCATTCCTTTTATTTGGTTTCACATCAATATTTCCTACTTCGCGAACACTTAATTCAGTCGTTTGATTGACTTTTTTCTTCATTTTTCTTTGTGTTGCAAATGTTTTCTTCAATAATTTCCGGTTTTTCACTCTTTTTTCTTTGATTGTTCTGAATGAAAGAAAAAGACATCGTCGTATTTTTATTGCATTCCGAATCGTGACTATGTTTGACTCAAATAGCGCCAATTATTTCTAACTCTATTCATTCATTGCCTCATACTTTCTTCGTTTTTTCATAAACGTTCAAGTTTTTTTAAACACTTTAAAAATTCCAAAAAAGTGGTTTCAACTTTTCTGCATCATTTTTTTCCATTTTTTCTATCTCATAATTTCTCTGGAAGACCTTCATGCCATTTTAAATGATGAAATTGCCTTTGATTTGAAAATTCATGCCTTTGACCAAAAAATATCGTATTTTTCAAAGAAAAATTCTTCATTCCAAGAAAGAGATTGAATTTTGTTCAACGAAAATGATATAAACTCAATGAATTCAATTTCTCCGATCGCATTCTCCAGAGAAACCATAACAAGACGGATTTAAATATCGTATTCTCTGCTGCATTGGTAAAAAGTGTCAACGGATGATAATTTTTTGTTTCCAAAGCAAAATGTTGTATTTCAAGAAAAACAAGTTCTATTTAGGTGCAGTGTGGAATCATGTTAGAGACCGGCGAGAAATTCAATTTTTTTTTTGTCTCAGACCCAAATTAGACAGATGTTTGAGTTACACAGCGCATGCGTGCAGCTGATGCGTACGCACACCGTCCGTATGTAAATGGAATGAATTGTGTAAGAAAATGTAAAAAAAACAGTCGTTCAGTTGGAATTCAGCTATTCTAGAGACACAATGTCGATTAAAATTTCATTCACGATAAAAATACGCTCGCGTTTGACTTAAAATAGATTTTTACTTGTTCGATAATTGGTATTTAATTGTATTGTGGTACAAAAACTGTGTGGAACTGACACGGCAAAGTAAGTGATAAGCAAAATATATAAACAACAACAGAGAGCAGAATTGATGGTTTGTTTGGTCGGAGAACCGGCCTTTTTGACAGTTCTCACAATGAGTGTGTCACACAATGACAGTGAACATTGTATTCTGTGAACAACAACAATTTCGACTGAAAGATAGTGGCATGTTGAAGAGCCTGACAACTGTGACAAAACACTGAGAATCGTGTGTGTGTTCTTTTTTTAAAGAGACTTCATTCTTCTTCTATCTCTTTCAAGAGATTATTGATGAAAATGCACAATTTTTAAAGAATATTTCAAGTGATTGCCGTTTTTCGAAATTCAACGGAGTTTTTTTTCTCGGTACATTTTCAAGAATTCGGAAGATTTTTAGGCTATTTTGTAGATTTTCAGACGATGATAGACACTTGCAAAGGATTTCTTCAATTATTATGCTTGGAATAAGTTTTATAATTGAATTAACTTTCGATTTAGTTTGAAGAACTTGAAGTCACACATTTTCATCAACTCCTAGCCCAATTCATGTCATTCACGACGAATTTTTCTACAGATTGTTGTTAATCTCCCATCAGACAGTGTTTGTTATTCTCGATTCGTCGGTAAACAATTTTTTAATCGCTTGTTTTAATTACGTGATTGAAGTGTTAACGATGTTATGGAATCGATGGGAACTGGTTTGATACGCTTAACATCAACACATGACTACTTCGTTAGTGGCTTATCAATTTCGAATGCCTTCCAATTTGCTGATACTAGTACACGCAATTATCAATTTTTTGCCTTTATTTATCGCCTCGATTCGAATTTCTCTGTGACAAGAAAAACATCATCACAAATCGATTTCATAATCAAACTGATTTTTTGCTCAAAGAGTTTAATTAAAGAGTGTTCTTTTTTTTCGAATTAAGTGTAAGAGAAGTGGTGCAAGAAAAGAGCGTGAGAGACAAGTGTGAGAGAAGAGAGTGCAAGAAAAAAGTTGCTCTTTTCATGAAACGTAATGCATTTCACTGTTGAGAACAAAAACGGTTGAACTCAGAAGGAAGGGAAAAAAATGTGCAAAAGTCAAACTGAATTGGGCTTATCTGGTTTCGAAATTGTCAAAGATGCTGATAAATCAGCGTATTTTTGTGAGATAGACTGCACTTGATGATTGCATTTCGACGATAAATGATCAAAAAAGAAGAAAAAGAGTGAAAGAAAGCAAATTAAAGAGAAAATTTCTGTTTTACAGGGCAATTCGTGCGGAATTAAAGCAGCAAGTTTCGGATATTCAGAATAAGTACCCAACTTTAGTGCCGGGATTGGCAATTGTACAAGTCGGTGGACGTGATGACTCGAATGTGTATATTCGTATGAAAATTAGGGCCGCCGCCGAAATTGGCATTGAAGCGCAACATGTGAATTTGCCAAGAACAATAACACAAAGTGAACTTTTGGCAAAGGTATCGTACTGCACTGTTTTGGAAATTTGTTTCCTTTTTATGATGGACTTTACGAAGCTAAAACCAATTTATTCAACAAAAATATAAGTAATCGGTTTTGTTTCAATCACTCAAAGTTGGACGAATTAAACAATGACGACAACGTTCATGGTATTATCGTTCAAATGCCATTGGATTGTGAGGAGAAGATTGACTCTGATTTGGTCACCGATTACGTGAGCCCCGAAAAAGATGTTGATGGGTAAATAGAACGAATATTTGCTTGTTTCCATTCATTTATTTTATGTGTTCCTTTTTCATTCATTCTCATTCACATTGCGATAAGAGTTTCAAACTGAACGGCATTTTAGACACTCACTTCAATTGATTGTGAACCATTTCTTACCACATTTTTTTGTCCCATTCAAATATAGATTGCACACATTGAATGAGGGCCGAACGGCAATCAACACCAAGACTGGTTTCGTTCCATGCACACCAAACGGATGCATCGAATTGATCAAACGCGCTGGCATCACAATTGCTGGCGCCAGAGCCGTTGTTCTTGGTAAGACAAATCCAGCACCATGGCATACTAAATACTAGCCAAATTCTAATCTACTTTTAGTAGTTTTAGCACATTAAATCTTTAGCTTTTATTTTTGACATGAGTAACAGTACATTTCATTTGAAAACACTTTTAAGCCGTATTATTCGCTCGGTTACTTAACGATTTTGTGAACTTAGGTCACGTTTTTTTTTTCTCGTTCGGTCTATGCTTTTATCTCTATCTCGTGACTTCATGTTTTCCATGACAAAGCAACATTTAAATAAATTTGTTAGTGCAAACCGAACAAATAAACGCTGATAATTAGTTCGTAAATATGGAATCAGACAATAAATAACATGTTTTTTTCCCTTCTGTGCTGAACTAAAGGTCGCAGTAAGATTGTTGGAACGCCTGTCTCCGAGCTACTCAAATGGCATCATGCAACCGTCACAATTTGCCACTCAAAAACTAAAAACCTACCCGATGTGGTAAGTAATTGAAGTCACCGATAGATTTTTAGTTCATATTGTTAATATTCAGAGCTGACTTGTTTGAAATTCGAAAATTTCAGTTCAATTTCGGTCAATTTCTTCTTTGGTTTCGATTCAATTCAATTTTTTTATCCGTGCGAATGTTCTTCCTCGGAAAATGTTTGTCAATCTTCTCTTGATTTAAGTGAAAAATGGTTAAATTGTCTAAAATCTATTCAAAAATGTCCTTTGATTGTAGATCAGAGAAGCCGACATCTTAGTAGTCGCCATCGGTTCAGCAAAATTCGTGAAGGGAGACTGGATAAAACCAAATGCGGTTGTTATTGACTGTGGAATCAATTCGATTACAGGTGAGTTAGAATGGGAAATCAGGCTTTTTCAAAACATTTGATTCAAGGGATAAAAGGATGAAAAACCAGCGAAAGAAGGATTTTTTTCTCCATTTTTTCCCTTTTTCAAGTTTTTTCTCATTTGTTTTCTCTTTTTTCACCTCATTTTGTTGGTTTTGTCGGTTTTGTTGGCCAATAAATTGAATTCAACAATGATCTTATGCTTCAAGCATTGATCTTCAGCTGATAAACTCTCTTCATGAGCTAATAATTCAACACCTTTCTTCCTCTATAGTGCTCGATACGGCCACCAACAAGTCAGTGCAGCGTTTGTGCGGTGACGTTGATTACGACGAAGCATCAAAAGTTGCATCATACATAACGCCAGTGCCAGGCGGTGTTGGTCCAATGACGGTGGCCATGTTGATGAAGAACACGGTTCAATCCTATTTGCGATGGGTAGAGAGAATCACCGGCAAAGACTGGAATCTAAGCACATTGCCATTGCATTTGATCAAACCAGTTCCAAGTGATATCGCAATTGCACGCGCTCAACAACCGAAAGATATTAAGAAATTGGCCGATGAAATTGGACTGCAATCAAGTGAAGTGCACTTGTTTGGACCGAAAAAAGCGAAAATTTCACTGAAAACACTTACTCGACTTCAAGATAGACCCGATGGAAAATATGTCGTCGTTGCTGGGTGAGTAACGTGGAAATAGATTCTATATCAGTTGGAAATGACGTGATTCATTGAATATCCCAGCAATAATCATTCGCATCAAATGTTTTGTGAAGTTTTAAACTTCAAATTCTATCAATTTTCAATACTCAAGCAATAAAAAAGTTGAAATTTTCCATCTTTAACCCAATAGAATCACGCCAACACCATTGGGAGAGGGCAAAAGTACGTGTACCATTGGTTTGACACAAGCATTGGCCGCTACAAAACGTGTCAATACTTTCGCTTGTTTGCGTCAACCATCGCAAGGACCAACTTTCGGGTGAGAATTGTTTCCGTTCTTCAGTTTTGATCAAAGCTCGTGATAAAAAAAAAAAATTTGCAAACAGCACCCAATTTTAACTAGCATACCATTTTCATTGCCATCAAATTCGAAATGAGCCTTAAAAAATTTACTCAAAAATATTTCCCACTAACAAAAAAAACCATTATTTTCCAGAATCAAAGGAGGTGCTGCTGGTGGTGGATACAGTCAAGTAATTCCGATGGAAGATTTCAATCTGCATTTAACCGGTGACATTCATGCCATTACGGCGGCCAACAATCTCTTGGCTGCTCAATTGGATGCTCGTATTTTTCACGAGTCAACGCAAACCACCGAGGCTCTGTACAATCGTCTCGTGCCAGTCATCAAGGGCAAACGTAGTTTTTCACCAATTCAATTGAGACGCTTGCAACGGTTGAACATCCAAAAGACTGATCCAAACGAATTAACAGCGGACGAAATCTCACGATTCAGTCGTTTGAACATCGATCCCAAGAAGGTGGTTTGGACTCGTGTTTTGGACATCAATGATCGATACTTGCGTGAAATTACCATCGGTGAATCGAAAACCGAAAAAGGATTCACGCGAAAGGAGAGCTTCTCAATTTCGGTGGCTAGTGAAATAATGGCAATTTTGGCATTGGCCAGAGATTTGACCGACATGAAAGAACGTTTAGCCAAAATGGTGGTCGCTTTTGATTTGAACGGTAATCCAGTTGTTGCTGATGATTTGGGTATTACCGGCGCTTTGATGATCTTGTTGAAAGACACAATCGAACCAACGTTGATGCAAACTCTCGAAGGAACACCCGTTTTTGTTCACGCCGGCCCATTCGCAAATATTGCTCACGGTTGCTCGTCAATTGTTGCCGATAACATTGCATTGAAATTGGTTGGTCAAGACGGTTTCTGCATAACCGAAGCTGGATTTGGATCAGACATTGGCATGGAGAAATTTTTCGATATTAAATGCCGCACATCACAAAAGGTACCCGATGCTGTCGTTTTGGTTACAACCGTTCGTGCATTGAAAATGCACGGTGGCGGCTCAGCTGTTACACCAGGTGCACCATTGAAAAGCGAATACACAAGCGAAAACATCGATTTGGTCAAACAGGGTCTACCGAATCTGATTAAACACATCGGCAATGGCGTTAAATTCGGCGTTCCAGTCGTGGTTTGCGTCAATGTTCATGCGTATGTTTGGAATATTTTAGTTTCTGATTATTTTGACTTGAAATTCTATCAAGTTTTTTCAATCAAATTCTATTCTCCTTTTGAATCTCTTTCGAGCATGAAAAAAATCGATTTTCAATCAAATTTACCAATAAAAAACCTCTCTTTCTCCCCCAGAAACGACACTGAAGCCGAACTCGAAGTGGTGCGAAAAGCAGCCATTGACAACGGAGCATTCGATGCAGTTATAAGCCATCATTACGCCGAAGGTGGCAAAGGAGCTGAAAAATTGGCTGAAGCCTTGATTAAAGCATGCTCAAACAAAAAATCAACATTCCGTTTCTTGTACAATTTGAACGAGTCCATTGAAGAAAAAATTGCCACGATCGCACAAGAGATGTACGGTGCTGGTGAAATTGAACTTCAACCCATTGTCAAAGAGAAGATTCAACTGTATAATGCACAAGTAAGTCGATTTTGGTTTTAAACTCGAAGTTTTAATCCACGGTGTGTGCCTCGAAAACGGATTAAAAAATGATCCTTCGAACCAAAAATCTTTCGTTTTGGTAGAACACTCTGATCACTTAACGCGTTCCTCACCAAAAAGTATCTTTTTAAGTGTACTCTACAATAATGACTAATAATAATCCGATTAATTTCGATCGTTCACAGGGTTTCAACCGACTTCCAATTTGTATGGCAAAAACATCAAACTCATTAACTGCCGACCCAGCGATTAAAGGAGCCCCAATTGGTTTTAAAATCGTTGTAAATGACATCTTTATCTCGGCCGGAGCCGGTTTTATTGTGCCAATTTGCGGTGATATTTCAAAAATGCCCGGATTACCAACACGACCGTGCTTCTATGACATGGACTTGAACACCGAAACTGGTGAAATCGTAGGACTTTTCTAAAAAGCAATTTAATTTTACGGAGTTTCACTTTGAAACACTGATTCTTTGGACGAACTTGATATTGATTGTTATAATGTATTTTTTTCTAATTTTTTTTAAACTGTTGAAAAGAAAATTATAATTGAATTTTTTTACATACGTTGAAACGTATATATACGTTATGTGCAACGTTCGACTCGTTGAACCGATTGAAAATTGTCAAATTTAATCGTATTCTTAGGAACAAAACGAAAATAAATTTGTTATGTTAAAATTTTGTTGAGTGCATGAATTATTTGTATAGCATTTCGATGCACAACACTCTTAAGATTACTAACGCTAAAATCTCGACTGCATGCTAACGTCCTAATTGCAGTGTAACGACCTTTTCCACGAACTTCAAGCTTCTTTCAAGCTTTTTTTTGTACTATTTTCGTAAAATCAGTCAATAAAACCAAAAACATTCGCATTCTGACCTCAATTTTGTGTTGTCCGTTGAAATGAACGCTGAACATTTGAATTTTGTTTGCAGCACATAGAGTTAAAGTGAACAGTTGACGTTGATCCGAATTTCCGCAAAAACAAAACGAGAAGATGAAAATCACCGACTTGAACATCGAATGCATCGAGAACTGCTTTAAGTGCATGGATTTGGAAAAAAAATGGAATAAACGACTGAATAAAGAACCGCCAATGAATGTTTTCCTTCATAGATTTAATGTAGCGATTCTCGTCGTTCCCTGAATGTTGTCAGCGAGAAAACACAATTTGTTCGAGATATCTTCGAATTGACGAAAATTCGATAAATATGCTTGGATTGAAAATTGTTTTGCTATTTCTACGTTGTTTCCGATATTTGATGAATGAATATTGAATGGCATCTATTTTCCGGACCACCAACATATTTTTCATAAATAATTTGACACTTTTGAGTTAAATCAAGGTAAATAAGGTTTCAATATTTATTTTATCTCGGTAAATACACTACTTGTGTCCATGCTCAAAACCCATCGAATTATGATTACGAGAATTGAATCATATTTTATTCGTTTCACAAAACAGCCTAACATCGAATACATTGGTTTTCTCTGAGTAACATTTTGTCATCAAAACTAGGAAATATTAACACCAGGTAGGATTAAAAGTCTCAATTGCACTGCTGTTGGTGGTGATTCCCTTTTTTCTCGGGTGCTTTTCCTCTTTGTTTACACTTCCAACAACTGCGATTGATTTACATGCTCTAATTGCAGTTTAATGATCTCTTCCACGAATTGCAAGCTCTTTGCCCACTTTCTCCCTGCTTTAAGACTTTAAAAGCCAAGAATATTCGCATTCTGACATCAGTCTTGTGTCGTCCGTTGAAGTGAACGCTGAACATTTGAATTTATTTGCAGTACACAAAGTTAAAGTGTAAATAGTTGACGTTGGTCCGAATTTCGAAAAAACAAAACGAAAAGATGAAAATCGCCGACATGAACATCGATTGCCTGGAGAGCTGCTTTGATTACTTGGAGTCAAGGGAACTCTTGAATGTAGCAAATTCAAATAAACGATTAAATAAAGCCGCCGGCTACGTTTTAGCTCGTCGAATAAGTGGAAAGGTGTCATTTTTTACGTATTTGGGTCGTCAGAAAACTGGAGAAAGCTCAGAATGTTTTCAAATTTCCGATGATGGTTCGATAAAGATTAGCCACTTTAAACTTGGTTTGCAATTTTTACGTTGTTTCGGGCATGTGGTTAATAACGTAACAATTTTTTCTACAAATTGTTTAAAATTTAATAAATATATAACATCTTATGTAAACGAATACTGTTCTGGGTCATTGGGTGAAATTTGTTTTGCTGGAGTTTCGAAAGGAGACAGTATACTGAAATATATCGAGAAACCATTTCCAAACGTAAAAAAAGTTATATATAACCATGTTGGTGGATTTATTGGAAAGGATTGGTTCAATCAGATTTTTCCACAAATGTGTGAGTTGACGTATAATATTGACAAAAGTGGAATAGGTTTAAAACATCAATGCATCGAAAATCATTTTCCGCATTTGGAACGCTTAAATACTGATATTTCGAGTTCAAACGAATGGGACATAGAAAGTGTAAAGTGTCTGTTCCGTTTGAATCCACAGTTGAAAAAGGTATCTCTAACTGCATCAAATAGCGTTGTTTACAATATGATCGAGAGTCTACGGAATGTTGAATCTCTTGATTTAGACATTTCTAATATTGAAATGGATGAGGATGATGAGCATCAGATCTACTTAACGAATGTTAAAACATTTGTTGCCACTACAACATTCAGTTTACCGCTCCATTTTTATCAACTGGAAACGTTGAAAATTTATCTTAATAATTTAGAAAAATCAGATATGTTGTGTGAATTTATTGAAAGACATTCCACCATCACGAATTTGGAAATAACCGGACCATACATTCGAGATCAACAAACTTTGTCGAGACTCGCCGCTGCATTACCGTCATTGAAAAATCTTACGTACTATCAAGTTAGCAGTATTGATAATGCAATCCAGTTTTTGAATACGTTTCAACAGCTGGAGATGTTCAATTTTGATCTTGATTTTCATCAATCGTATGACAATTTATTGGCGCATTTTGGTGAAGAATGGCAAATGGAAATACGAAAATCGCGCTTAGTGGAAATGAAACGAAAAAAAACATCACATTCACTAAGCCACTGTTGAATGGAACAGATTCAGCAAATTACTATAGTTTTTAAAAAAGCATCTAATGAGCTATGACTTAAGATTTTTATCACAGTCTATCTCGCGTTATCGACAATGTGTTAAATGATAAAGTTACAGCTGCTATCACAAAATCAATCTCATGTATACTAAAAATATTCAACATAGATCCATGTTAAAATAATCCGAGAATCGATGTTCATCAATCAAATCAAGTATTTTATGTAAGCAATCATGACAAACATACATTTTAAATATTCAATTGTGTATTAATTGTATTGTATTGAATAAATAACAGCAAAGAAACATATCCGATCTTTTTATTCCAAACAATTTCAATCAAAATTCATAATTTTTAAAAGGATGGTAACGTATACATTCAAGTGGAAACGTTTAAAGTGAACATTTTTTGTCATTCCATCTCCACTGTAAACCGTCGTTGGACATCCAAATTGGACACTTAGAAAATGAAGTCAACGTGATTTGACGATATCTCGATAATGAAAAAAATAAAAATGAAAATCACCGACTTGAACATCGAATACATCGAGAAGCTGCTTTGAGTGCATGGATTTGGAAAAAAAAATGGAACAAACGACTGAATAAAGAACCGCCAACGAATGTTTCCTTTTATAGATTTGATGTAACGATTTCATTCGACATTCGTCGGCGAGACAACGCAATTTGTTCAAGATGGCTTCGAATTGACGATAATTCGATAGATATGCTTGGGTTGAAAATTATTGCGCATTTTTTGCGTTATTTCAGACATTTGATAAAAAATGAACATTCGAATTTGGAAACCGTTCAGAATTTAGCCAAAATTTTACATCTTTTGTAAAAAAACATTGAATTGAGGCTCTGAATTAACTTGATTTTCACGAATTTAAAGATCCGCGAGAGCACAACCATCTTCAAAGGCCATTGGATATTGCTATAATCACGAATTTATTACAAAAATTTGGTTCAAGTAGAACTCTGCCCACAAAGATATTAAGTAAGTAAAGTGGGCAGTTCCCAGCCCTTTTTCAAAGCCATCAACATACAGTAGTAGTAAATACACTAATGTTCTCCAGTCCATGCTCAAAACCCATCGAAATTTTCTCACAAGAAGTGAATTATTTTTTATTTGTTTCACAAAACTGCCTAACATCAAATATATTGGTTTTCTCTGATTTACATTTTTTTTTGGTATCAGATGAAATCGAATAATTCGTGATGTATGATGTTAGTTAAACGAAAAATTGACAATGACAATAACAACCAACTCCAGAAAGATTGACGCAATAACATTGCTTACGTCACGCGAAAAGTTGGCTGAATTTTCTCCGTTGTCTGAATTTATTTGAATCCATCAAGCATCGGTTCGGGCATATTTCTATGCAAGATAAATATGCTGAGCATAGATGCGTACGGACGACCGTGCGACGAACGTATCACCAGAGCCATCGTTGTTTGCTGTGTATTCATACACACACTAACGCGTGCGTCTCGCAATGCACGGTCGGCCCGTATGAATACAATACACAGCAAACAACGATGGCTCTGGTGATACGTTCGTCGCACAGTCGTCCGTACGCGTCTATGCTCGGCATATTTATGCAGTATAGAACATCTAGGTAAACATATTTCTATGCCCGAACCGATGCTTAGAATCCATTCAAGATATGGATAGGTTCTTGTGTATAGGCTGTTTTCTGTAAAAAAAATATCAACATAGTTAGTCTTTTGAAATAGAATATGTTGAATACTTGTGTCCATTTATCGAAACCTAATTGAATCCTTGAAATTTCATTAAAAAGTTTTTAAGGATCAACCTGTAGAACAAAAAAGGAAACCACTCCTATCAATTCATCTAGGTCGTTAGATATGAGGGGACCACCTAAAAAGTTAAATATGCTGCCAAAGTTAGCTAATAGTCTTTCGTGATTGGGAAACGATCAAGCTCACCGGAATCAAAAAAGCATGCCATAACGGTGTCTGATTCTGTTTCAGCATATTTTCCAACGGCTTCATCTGGATTGTATTGTTTGGCACCAGTTGCTCCGTGTTGTAAAACGTTATACGGATACTAAATTTCGAATGGAGAAAGGATCATTCAGAGACTACGGAAAATGACTGAAAACAAAGCTCATTATTTATTACTCACCGGAATAGCACCGCTACCCCATCCAAGAATTGTGGTACTCTCATGGTCTTGGAGGTCTTGTTTGGGCAATTTGGCTACTTTAACCGTTTTGGATATTGAAATTTTCGAGCTCACACGAAAAATGCTCAAATCAATCACTTGTGTTGTACTAGCAGAAGGATCCATTGTTTCGTGTGTTATAATTTTTGATATTTTCAATTTTTGCCCTTGAAATTGATTTACACTTCCGACCCAAACCTCACAATTGTATCCTGGTTTTTCGCAAATGAGACCACAGATTCCAGACGTCAATATGCTAACTTCCGAAATTATAGAACCACCACAAAAAGGGATATCATAACCGTTTGTGATAGCTATTATTGAAGCCATATACGGAAATTGTCCATCGCGAGCATTTTTGCCACCAATGATGCGTGATTGCGAACTCTCGTTCAACACTCTTGCCAACGCTGGTGTTAGAAATAGCAGAAAAAGCAATTTCATATTTCGAGTTTGCAAATTATGCAAAATCATCGATGCCTATTTCTAGCTCCCGATTAACTTGAATTAATGTATGTTCTTTTGCTGATTTTTTTAATTGTTTAAAATAAATGGTTTTGTTTTTTTTTAAGTTTTTTTATATGTCCAAGTTCAATCTGCTTTCTTTCGTGTTCAAATTATTAATGCTGAAATGCCTATTTCATCGTGAATAGAAAACAAAATGAATTCGATTTTCATATATAGTTAGGTTGCTTCGATTGAATAGATAAATTCTTGCGAAAAACTAGCAAATTTATTTCTGTGCGATGTGAAGCAGCAAATGTTGATTTATACAAAAATACCTTAGTAATGTAAGATAATAAAATTTAAACGCAAGCAAACGCTAAAATCGTTTATCATTGTGATAGCGCTGTTTGTAATTGTACAATACAGTGGAGTGTTCGCAATAACTCCTTACTGAGTGCAAATATTTAAAGCCTATAAAAGCCCATTCGCACCAGATCAAGCAACGTCAATTTTAAGTTTTTTTTTTAAATGTTTTTGCCACAATCACATTCATGACTTTAATACGTTTCTTTTTGACGGTATTGTCGGGAGTTTGCCTCTCCTCCCTAATTATCTCTTGCTATGGATTTTTTGTTCTACCAAAAGGCATTTCTTCATTCGATCACAAAGATTGATTTGGAAAATGCTACACTGGCTTACATCCCAACCGCTTGTCTTATACTTTGGAGTTTCTGTTCGTATTGTGGCATTCTCATGGTGAGCATTGATAAAATATTAACCATTCTTCATGATGATTAGTCCTCATTTTTCATGCCCAATGCTTAATCGTCATTTTTTCACTTTGAATCCAATAGATGCCTTGGCACTTACTAGCTGAAATCTTCTCTTTCAAGTAAGTCCAGTCCAATAGTCACAAAACAAAGAACAGAGATCAACCGATTTCCTTCACTTTCATTTTCAGGGCTCGTGGATTAGCAACCGGTTTAGCAGCCGCTGTAAACTATATTATGGGCTTCGCCACCATTAAAACATATTTCAATCTAGAAACCACATTATAAATACCCGGTGTGTCATTACTTCATTTTGTATTCTCCATTGTTGGGCTCATTTTGATGTTCAACATTCTGCCAGAGACAGAAAATCGAACACTCGAAGACATCGAATTACATTTTTCGGACAATTCGAAGAAGCTCACAGACTGGCACATACCAATTCGGGGGAAGGTGCAGAAAAATTCAGCAGCAAATCAGATATGAGTATAATTTTATACATTAAAAGTGTGCATTTTTAAGTTAATTTTAGTTAAGTAAGTAATCTAAATAAATGTGTGAGAAGTTTTCTTGAGAAGAACTGCTAACAACAGATTGAACAATGAACAACATTTCTGTCGATAAAACTAAGAAATATTGACGCCCGACGGATTAACAGCCCTAATTACACTGCAATTGCTCTGCATGTCTTAATTGCAGTTTAACGATCTCTCCTACGAATTGCAACCTCCTTTCAAGCTCTTTATCCACTTTCTTCGTGAAATAAGACTTTAAAAGCTAAAAATATTCGCATTTTGACATCAGTCTTGTGTTGTCCGTTGAAGTGGACGCTGAATATTTGAAGTTATTTGCAGTACATAGAGTTAAAGTGTAAATAGTTGACGTTGGTCTGAATTTCACGAAAACAAAACGAGAAGATGCAAATCACCGACATAAACAACGATTGCCTCGTGAACTGTTTCAAGTACTTGGAGTCAGAAGACCTATTGAATGTGGCAAATTCGAATAAACGACTGAATACAGCCGCTAGCTACGTTTTTTCTCGTCGATTTAATGGAAAGGTTTCTTTTGAAATTCATTATTTTCAGCGACAAAACGAAAGTTCTTCGGAATACTTTGAAATTTCCGACAAAGGTTGGACAACGATTCATCACTTGAAACTGGGCCTGCAATTTTTACGTTGTTTCGGGCATTTGGTTAAGAACATAACACTTTTTTCTACAAATTGTTTCAAGTTTAATGAATATATAACATGTTATATTGAGAAATTTTGTTCGGCGACTTTAAGTGAAATTTCTTTTCAAAAACTGTCAGCAAAAGCCGAGAGTATATTGAAATATATTGAGAAACCATTTCCAAAGGTCGAAACGGTTCGATGTTTCTATTGTGGTCAATTCATTGACATGGATTGGTTCAATGAGATTTTTCCACAAATGCGTAAATTAACTTACGTAATTAGGCATAGTCAAGTACCATTCAAGAGACATCAATGCATCGAAAACAATTTTCCTTTTTTGGAATGCTTAAATATTACCATTTTGAGTTCAAACAAATGGGACATAGAAAGTGCAAAGTGTCTGTTTCGTTTGAATCCACAGTTGGAAAAGGTGCAGCTTATTACATGGGATAGCGTTGTTTACAACATGATTGAGAGTCTACGGAATGTTGAAACTCTTGATTTAGACATTTCTGATAATTTAATGAGTGATAACAATCAAATTGAATTGAAAAATGTTAGAAGACTTGTTACCAATACAAGAAACGGATTACAGTATCATTTTGCTCAACTAGAAACGTTGAATATTCATTTTTATCAATTGAAACAATCAGAAAATTTATGTAAATTTATTGAAAAACATTCAACCATCACGAAATTGGAACTGAAAGGCCCATACATCGGAGATGTACAAACGTTGTCTAGACTCGCAACTGCATTGCCATCACTTAAAATTTTTGCTTACTATAGTGACGACTTTCTCTTTGTTAATAATGTAATCCGATTCCTGAGAACGTTTCATCAGCTGGAGATGTTCAGTTTCAATCTTCATTCTAATGACACGTATGAGAATTTATTGGTACAACTGGGCGAAAAATGGCAAGTAAAACGTGGAAATTCTAGTTTAGTCAAAATGAAACGGAAAATATGAAGAAACGAAGGCTTTGCAACATCTTTTACAATCTACGTCCCAAGAGAAACGGCCAATATGTTTATACGCTGTCTATCCGCCGAAAATGAACTACAATATATATTCACGCTTATTGAACGCCGAATGGAATATATATTCTAGTGTATAATCGGCGTATTCTTCGGCGTGAAACATATTGAAACATATTCAGGCGCCCTCTGGTGGCCATCAATGCATTCGTTGATTCAATATGTTTCACGCTGAAGAATACACCGAATATACACTAGAATATATATTCAATTCGGCGTCCAATGAGCGTGAATATATATTTTAGTGTATTTTCGGCGGTTAGACAGCGTATAAACATATTGGCCGTTTCTCTTGGGGTTATATATGCCTTAACACTCGACCAGAACGGATCAATAGGTGACAAGGAAAATCCAACGAGCTGCGATCTAACATTAGCATTTAGGTCTTTATTTGCAACATGAAATATTATTCAAACAGCAAAATATATTTTCATAAATTCAAAAATGTTAGAGAAGATTGTAATTCTCTTGATCATTTCTCCGTTACTTCATTCAGTAACGCTCTTCAACACCATATAATATGTGAAAATCGTTTTGATTAACTGAAATGAATATGTTTTGAAAGTGTAATAAAAAATATTTTGATTTTTTTCTCTACAAAAAATGTGTTTTTTCAATTTGATTCGATTGTTTTACTTTTGTAAATGTTTCCAAGTTCAAAATGGCAAGTCCAAAGCCATGATAGTGAAGCGGTAAATGGGTGTCTTAAATTATTAGAAGATACTGTTGCAATTCAAGAGAGCAGCTATACCAGCTCGATTCAAACAAACATTGTGCCATTTGTTTGTAGCTTTCAGTCGCCATTTTGCCATAGTAACACATCGGTCAATAAGTCCCGAGCCTAACCACCAAGTGGCAACACTAATGTCAAACCCATATCATTTTCGAAAACTACAACCTTTTTTAGGAATCCAGTCAAAATTTGAGCCAAATCCGACCATCAGTTCGCTAATTACAGCACTTTAAATGAAGCAATTTTCCAATTTTCCAAAATCATGGAAAAACTGCATTTCTCCTCTCGATTTGACACATGTATTCCAGAAGAAAAACGAGCAGGAGTACCAAACCCATACTATGATTAGTTTATGGCATCCTTAGGCTTTCGAAATCAATCATTAGATATGGAAGAATTGAATTTATGCATAGCCATAAGAGCGATTTTGTCGATAAGCCTCCAAATTGTTCAAAATATGTGGTTTTGGAAGAAATCATTGCCAAAATCCGTTAAGTGATATCGGAATTCTCAAATGTGATAGTTCATAGATTTGCTAAGGCCATAGGGCAACTAACTCAAGCTATAGTTACAACTTTGCATGGATATATGCATATGAAATACTCAATCGAAAAAGCCTTGCCGCGTTTTTGGATATGGAGTAGATAGAACAGTTTTTTGGGGATTCGAAGCCCGTTTGGAGCTGTATAAGTAAAATTTGAATAGGGTTTTGCCTTTATATATTAGAATTAATGTATTTTGAGTTCATTTGAATAGATTCGATCTATAAATTGCGGGTAGAAATCGCCAAAAACGGTTTGTAGCGACCAAGGTCGCAAAATATGAGTTCGGGCATTATTAGTGGATTTAGGTATAGAAAAATATTCGCGAACCAGTGGGAAAGATATAAAACAACATGAAAAGTCACTTATGCATCATTTTAGACCTATCCGAATGTCAAATCTTGATAAAACATAGCAAATTTGGCGAAGAAAACTATGTTGTTCAAATGCGAGTTTCATCCAGGTCAAAGAACTGTTTATATGGTGATATAATTGAACGAAATTGGTTTCAAACTGCTTCACTAACCATTGTATTTTTTAGGTCTGGTCATTCTCTGAACTCTCCACATGAATATACTTGAATACAATGCATCAGAAGAAAGTTATACCGTTTTAACGGCAAAATTGAAGCATTTTCGGGAGTCTTTCTCTCGTATAGCTGTAACTAGCAAACTGATGGTCGGATTTGGCTCAAATTTTGACTGGATTCCTAAAAAAGGTTGTAGTTTTCGAAAATGATATGGGTTTGACATTAGTGTTGCCACTTGGTGGTTAGGCTCGGGACTTATTGACCGATGTGTTATAAACAACGGCTTTGCCCGAAAAAAAAGATCTTCAAGATAAATTATTGTTTTTTATTCTCGAATCGTTCTGGAAGCAACGTAACACACACAATATTGAACACATCATTCAGTTACACAATTTCGGTTTGCATTGATTTTAAACCCTTGTTAAAACCACTGAGTGATGAAATCACTTCAAAATTGTTGTAGATTCATTTCAAGTACTTTTCCCAATGAATTTCGCTTGTAGTTGTTCGTGACCGTTTAACGTATAATTATCGGTTATCGATTTTTATCGAATACAGTGGACGCTCGCAAGCTATTTAATTTGCCTAATTTGACTTCAAATGTCTGGGAACTTCTAATTTGTGAGAACATTTTGTATGAAACCATTTCTTTTGCGTCAAAAAAAAACTTCTAATTTTTGGATGATTCTAATTAGCGAGGATCCACTGTAATTGAGGCTGTGAGAATGAAAATGGCAATACAGGAATAAACATTCTGAAACGCATCAAGAAAAAAAAATCGCAAAAATGAATCATGAGTTCTGACAATGCAAAAGTGAAACATGAATTTACATGGGCAGCATAGGAGGTTCATGATTCACTTTTGCGATTTTTTTTTTCTTGATGCGCTTCAGAATGTTTTTTCCTGTATTGCCATTTTCATTCTCACAGCCTCAATTTTAAAATGGACAACTTCTATTCTGCCGATTTACGAAGAAAAAAATCTGACTTTGAGAGGAGGAACCATGAAAAGTCACCGTTGGATATAAAAATGCCATCAACCTAGTAGCATTAGCTCATGTATTGTTGTCATTTGAACTTTTACGGGAAAAGTTTAGCAATTCTGACGTAGCCGAAATTTTCTGTTCACCATCTTTTTTCATGAACTATGAAATATTGGCTATGGCCTATAAAATGAGCATTTAAACAACAAATGTTACCATGATAAATGATAAAGTAGAGAATATTACCATAAAAAAATCGTGCTTCAACAATAAATAGTTGTTTTTGATTTTTAAACATAAATATAAATCCAATGGCAAAATACAAAAAGCAAAAAGTGTAACAGCATGCAAAACTAACAGTCAGTCTTTGTGCTAGATTCAATGATTCGCTTGCTTTCCTTGAACTTCAATTCAATTTTTCATTTGTCTGAGAATAAAGGATGATTTGGGACATAATGATACTTATTATCATAGATCTTCTGCGTGAAAAAGTGCCATATTTGCGCACAGTATATGTATATTTCACATTGTTTAATTTTATGGTAAGACAATTCACATCGTATGGCGTGGCCAGTTCAATTCCTGGTCCTCGAATGTTTCCAATCATTGGATCGATCAGCCTTCTACTCACTCCACAACGTAGGTTTTATTACATAATTTTCTTGATTTACTTCGTTTACTCCAATTAATTCCATAAATAAAATAGTTTAGAGCTTAGATTCCAATCCTTTGAAGCAATGTCAAGTTCAATTAAAACTTTTTGTGCATTTCTTTCACTTTGCTACAGGAAAAATGTTCAAGAAACTGATGAACTACTGCAAATTATACCCGAATGGTTTTCGATATTGGTGCTTCGGATCTTTCACGTACAACACATATTCAGCCGAATCAATTGAAGTTAGAAGTTTAACGAAAAATTCGGTTCAATAATTGATTTTAACATTTTATTTTCGAAAAAATGTAAATTCGTGCATTTCAGAAAATTCTCACAAATTCCAAGCATGGTCAAAGAAATGCTTCAAGTGGACTTTTGCGGACATATTTGAACGGTAGTTCAATCACGAGCTCTGCCAACAAATGGGTCATGCAACATGAAAAAACTTCTGATTCCATCAAATCAAGTGATTTCCGGTCAAAGTTCCTTGACCAAACAAAATGGTTGAAAGAGGAAATCCAGAGAAATGAACTGAAGAAACCAGATGGATCGAATTTGCAGAAGCTAATTTCAAGGTATTTATTGGGTGTGGATGGTATTCAAGAGATCGACCAAATCGGTTACGATAAAGCTTTGAACGCTATCATCTTTACTTTGTCCATGCTTGCTAATTACCATGACGTTCAACAACGACTGTACGAAGAAATTACATTGAAGTTAGACGAGGATAACGATGAAAATTATTTAAATGCGGTTGTCAAAGAGGTCTTAAGACTATATCCACCGGTTACAGTCGTTGAACGCATTCTTGGCGAAGAGACCATCATTGACGGTGAGAGTGGGTTTTTTTTGCAACTTTTATTGCTATTGTCATATTTGTTATCTTTATTTAGTGCATGAAATGACTTGAATTTTTTGTTCAACAGATGCTGTGAAATTGCCAGCCAAAACATGTGTTCAAATTCAAATTTATGCGCTGCACCGAGATGCTAAATACTTTGAGAATCCAGAGCAATTTGATCCGAATCGATTCTTGAATGATTCTCTTGCAAAATATACGTCTGGTTCCCCAACATGCGTTTACAATGGCGATCATCATCCATTTGCCTACATTCCGTTTGGTACAAGCGATCTCAATTGCATAGGTGAGATTGAGAATAATATTTTTATGCCCCAAAAATGAAATTTCAATCAAAATTTCATGAAATTTTTGCATTTTTCAGATCAAAAATTTGCCGAAATGGCAATTGGCGCCGTTGCAACAGAAATTGTTAAACATTTTGAACTGAAGCCCATCACAAAAGTAGAGGATTTCGATTTAATGCACGATTCGGTTTTAAAGACACAAGAACCGATTCGAGTTGAGTTTGTGTCACGAGCCGCCTGATAATAATGGTCAGCGTCAACCTGATTTCTAACTACTTGAACATTTTTTGCATATTATTGGTTTCATGGCATGCATTAAAATGTAATTTCTATAGAAAAA